GCAGCTGGCGGCGTGTCGCCCTTACAGTGGTGCGACGGGCGCGGCTCCACGACCACCGCGTGACAGCGGCCGCCGCCCGCGTCGTCGCCCGCATCGGCTGCTTTGGAGGCGGCAGGGCTGGGGTTGGATTGGGGCGTCCGTACCCGTGACGTGTGTATTTCTATTGCCCCGGCTTGTCTCAAACGAGAAAAATGGGGGCTCGAGGTAGAATGAAAAAAAAGCGGACATGAAAAGTTTAAGTTTCGGGATGCGACGAAGCAGTAAAGTCGACTTAGGAGAGGGCTTCGCTGCGTTGTGCACTTCCAAGCGGGTTGAACTCACAATCGCCGTTCTGAACTGAGTGCGGTTGTTACACCGAGAGTTACATGAATATAACGCACCGAGGCGAGGCGAGGCGAGGGCGAGAGGTTCCAATTGGACGACGGCGCGCTCGCAGCGACGCAGCGAGGCAGCGGCACCGCGCGGCACGCAGTCTAGCAGAAATCAGGTTTATGGGTATTCGTGACCGGAGGCCAGATTGGGAAGGTGGTGAGTGCCGCACCGAGGGCCGCAGCACGCTGTCTCTCTCGCACTCACGCGCCGGCCCGCGGAGGTGCGAGAGAGACAGCGCGACGCAGGTCGAGGTGCCCCTCGAGGTGCCCCTCGGTACCTCGGGCGCGTCAAATAACAATCGCCTGGGTGAGTTATTGGGAAGCGGCCGAACGGCTACACTGCTAGAAGGCAGTGCGTGGCGTCTCGAAACGCGCGTCATGAAGAAATCTCACACTCATGAAAAGTTTCGTTTCCTGAAGCAGGGCGTTAATTCGCACTCTGCCTGTCGCATGTGTACGTCTTGACTGACTCGATGGCCGATAATTCAGACGTGTCGAAGGTGTCCTTCAAGTTTGGTGAATAATAAGCCTGCACACCTGCAGTGACTCACGTGACACTACGCGGCGTTGACAGGAGCGTGGTCCCTGCTGACGGTGGCAGAGGCTTGCCGCGCTTCTGGTGTGCCAGGGCGTGCGCACCTGCATTGCATGCCTCTCCGCCGATTCCGAGGACGGCGTCAGCGATTTTCCCGCCCCTTCGCACAGTGGGCCAGAGGCGCGGTCAAAATTCCGGACGCGTTTTGAGCTCCAGAGTCGCTAAATGGGACTCGAACGGAACGGGTGACCCCACCAATGGGTTGCTCTCCGAACGAGGAATCCATTGGTGGGGCCACACGTTCTGTTCGAGTCCTGTTTAGCGACTCTGGAGCTCAAAACGCGCCTAGAGTTTTGGCCGCCTCCGTAGCGCATGCGTAGCGTTCGGCACGAGCCTCACCCCCGGCGCGAGTGTCCGATGGCCCGATGGCCCGATGGCCCGATGGCTCGATGGTCTCGGCGATAGCGGGGCTCAGGCAATTAATTAGAGGCCGTGATAGGCACCACCTCGGCTCGGCACCTACACCACTTACACCTCGCTTCCTTCTCAATCGCAAAGGCCGGCAAGACCGGGAGCCACCGGCAGGCCACGGAGATACGTGTCGCCTTCAAGAGGGGGAAACGCTCGTGCCCCTGTGTGCGTGTGTGTGCGTGTGTGTGAGGCCCATCTCCGGCTAAATCTTCCGAAACAAGGGCCTCCGAGCGGACCGTGTTCCGTGCGTGTGTCTGTGTGAGTGTGTGTGTCGCTCGTCGGACCGCCTTGACTTATTTAATGAGTGCTGGTGGCGAGTTAAAAGCGAAATTACGACGATTCGGTGATCTTTCCCATCGACAGAGACTTTAGAGAGAGGGGAGGGAGGGGAGGAGGGAGTTGCAGCACAGTGCGAGGTGACGGAATGGGGGCCGGGAAGGTGTACAACATTGTAAAATCTCCGCTTGTTCTCTCTCCGCCCAAAATGTCTCTCACACTCATGCACACACGGTCACACACACACATACACACACAATGGCGTACATACACTCACGGCGCGCCACGTGGAACACATCCGTTCGAAACTGGAGACGCGCGCGGGGGCAGACATCTTGATCGTGTTGGCAGACATGTCGTCCTCCGCTCGCGACGTTTCGCGCCGCGCGATAGTCGTCACCGTCTTTCGATGTATCGATATCGGAACGAGATCGAGATCGACTACCGCAGTGCGTAATTTAGAAGGCGTTACGGCGTTCGTATCAATAAGGCCGTCGATAAAGTATCGCTATGACAGTTTTCCTTCCCCGGCAGGCCGAGGCTGGCAGACACGCGCCTCATGCCGCCTTTTGGCGCGTAGGCAGACTGGGGGGGGGGGGGGGGGGGGGGGCAGAGCGTGGGCTACTGGCAAGTATTTACAACCAACTTCACACCCGGGCATTCCAACATAGCGAGCCGTGCGGGGGAAGGGGGCCAGGGAGCGGATTCCGTATATATATACTTCAGGTGTCATCACTGAAATATAATGTGAGACCCCCTTCCCCATCCCTCCTCCTCTGCCTCCACTCCAGATTCGTTCTGTGTGTTCTCTTTGGGACTGGTCGCTCGTGGTCTTTCTTGTGCGATGCTTCCTCTTGACGCTAAACGGATATTAGCATAGTGTTATAGAATACATACTAGAATATTATTTTCTGCTTTTTTTCTTTTGAATAAAAAGTTTAATGAATGAGTCAGTGCAAGATGAAACCAAAAGTCACGAGGCTAGGGATAGGTTTTCAAAAGTGCAGAATCAGGAGAAACAGACCATCTCGAATTATCCGTAGAGCTGGTTGTGATCCCTCCCCCACCCCACTTCTGTCTGCGTGACGGCGACAAAAGTGGGGGCTCATGGAGCGCGACATCTGGGATCTTGGCCCGGTCGTCAAATCTCCCCAATACAATGCGCCTCGGCCCCCTGACAGTGTGTTAAGAGGATCGAGTGAGGCCGGAGCCGTGTGCGACAGTGCGGCTTTGGGAGGCGCAATGGACTCGTCTGTCTCTCTCGCACCCGCGAGTGTGCGAGAGTGACGAAAACGACTCTTGGAGACCTGAACGCGGGGGTGCCGCAAGAGCAGCCGCGGGCGGGCCAAGCGACCGGCCTACCAACATCATCATGCCACGTGGCTAAATTGAAAGCCGCGAAATACGTTCTCACGACGACGGCGGAAGGCTGGCACACCTGATGTAATTATATTCTGCTACACCTGCAAATCTGGTTGCGCCACCGACGCGTCGTGAACGGCCATCCATGGCCCTGGGGTCCCAGAGTCCCAAGCGCCGCGGTGCACCGCCCACCAGCGACCCGCCACCACACTGCCCCTTCAGTTTCCAAGAATGCAACGTCGACAACTTTTACCGAAGTAGCTATAGTTGTTTTCGTTGAATATTCGTTGTATTTGTACTTATGGAATCACCAGTAGTATAGATGGGCCATTCGGACGCCCGCCATCTTGGCCATCCTATGTCACTACAGCTAATGTTGGATGTTCGGATGGGTCATGTACGTAGACCACTAGATAGTGGTAAGGCAATGTCCGGTCGAGGCGACACAAGTCAAAATGGCGAACGTTCGAGTGGGGTGTAGATACTACTCAACCCAACTTTGCCTTGGCGGCAGGCCTCGGTCAGCCCGGGCCACCGCTTACTGCCGCCCCCCTTGGCGCTGCCTCTGGGGCCCTCGACGCCCATCAGTGGAAGCGCGGCGGGGGCGGCCGAGGGGGCGGCGGGGGCGGCGGGACGCGTTGATACCGGCCCGTGCGACACCGTGACGAAGCGAGGTAGCAGACGACAATCTGTCCCGTCCAATCCTTTTCCATCCGTCACTCTGATCGCTGACAATGTATAAAGATGACGAGGACGGTCTTTTGCTGCCTGCCTGCCTGCCGGGGCGACTTTATCACTCCACATCAAACAGTCGCATTATGGACTGGAGAGAAAGGGACGCGGCGCGGGACGCAGGGACGTTAGGGAACCCCGCAGACGCGACGGCCAGTGGCGCGGTGTGGCGTGGCGTGGCGTGGCGTGGCTCGGCGCGGCGCGGAGCAGCGCGCGCGGGTATCACGACACGTTCCCATTCATCCGGCCCATTCATTCAAGCCGCGTTGTTTCTCTCATTCCCATTAGGTCCATTTTTGAACCGTGTCGTTTCCGGCGCGAGGGACACTTGCATTTATTTCTGCCAGTTGGTCTCCAAACGAATCGGCTTCGCCCGCTCTCCTTGGTCCGTTACTTTCCGCCGTGTTCGTCGTTCGAGACACTTTGTCCAGAGTGTCGGATCGGTTACGAGCCGCCCGAAGGCACGAAAGAAAGGAGCTCCTTTGAAAAGCTGTGACTCGCGAGTCTGATGTTTATTTGATTGGGTTATCACTGAATCTGCATTTAGAAAACGCAATTGCAATTACTTTTCACCGCACGAGAGTGGGTGCGCACCTGCTATAGGTCAAGCAAACTAACGATCAGACCTATCCCATAGGTTAAGATTTGAACAGATGATTCATTTGGTTCACTGTGCATATAGAACTTTGTCATACCGACACGAATGACACGAAGCAACCTAACCTCTACCCACCAAGAAATTATTCAACTGCAGGTGAGAAGACGTTGTGTTTTGCTTATGTTCGGAAAATGAGAGTAACTCACTTGCAGTGGCAGGAAGCAAGAAGGGGGGGGAGGAGGAGGAGGAGGAGGAGGAGGAGGAGGAGGGTTGATTGGAGGCGATGTTGTTCCCCGGCCGATCCGAATCGAAGGGGCGGCGGTAGCAGCGCTGCCCCGCTTATCGGGGTCCCCATCGGAAGCTTCTCCTTGTGACACTAAAGCCTTCCTTGCTGGCCCCGCTGGCCCCGCTGGCCCGGCGTAGCGTGCCGTCTTGCTTTTGTTTTTATCATTCCGTATTACCGCGCCTCAGGTGGCAATGGGCTGCCCGGACGGACAGACGGACAAACGGACAGAGAATGGCTGCTTCCCGCTGGGCTCGAAATGCGCAGTGCTCAAGGGCTCCCTGCTGCAACGTTTTCCTTTCTTATTTTGTACCCTTGAAACAAAAATTTGTTGTAGTTTATTCGTGTTTTAGGTTGTTCAAAAGACAGTCGTCATTGTACTTGATGAGGTTTTATTTATAAAATATGACAAACATAAACATCACATTGGTGAGATGGTTTGGAAGACCATATCTTTCCGAAACCTCGGACAATATTGTGCTCCGAAAAGCATCAGAGGTCACTCGAAAGATTCGCAAAGCAAAATTATTGCTTTTTTTCCGTTCTCGTGAATTCAACATAATGACACAGTGGTGGTGGTTGCCACCTCACGATCACAACAAGCTAACTAACTCTTTACAAAAAATACCAATATGTACAGGTACCTAAAAGATTTTGACGATTCAACAAAATAAATTATTTTTGTACAGACTTCTCGGTCACAACCGACCGCAGCAAATCATTGTGCCGCTGAAGAACGGCACCGTCTCAAAGACTCAAAGTGCCAAAGTGCTTTCAGAAGTGCCTCATATCGGTCGGTGGGTACGTGCTACCGACTTGTATAATAATTCTCGTACAAGCGACTGACTTGTCCTCCCAGTCGGCGTAACATGGCACGGGTTGTTCACTGGATGCTTGCTCTGCCAAACAGAGGCGAAGTTAACCCTCAGATTTGGGTCACGGAATCGGCCAGCTCAGAGCTTTCTCTCTGATCCATTTTAATACTGATTATTTTATTGACACTGCGGGTGCAGAACCTGGCAAAATACACCCCGACAAAACGGAGGCATAACAAAGAGAAGTACAACAATAAATTTCGCGGTGTACAAAAATAAGATTTTTCTAAAAAAAAATAAAAAAAAAGATGGGGGGTGCAATTCTTATACATATGTTCTTGCATTGTTCCTTTGATTTTAACTTCTTAACGACCCGTTCTTTACATATTTATACTTTTATCACGATATCTTATTATTTATAACATTTTTGGCGTAAAAATAATTTCTCACCTATTTATTTTACCACACGAAGCATGACATCACACCGTACTCACTGTACTCTAGGTGGGGTGCGAATCCCCCATAGGAACAAGAAGAAAATCAGGGTGCGTTGGCGACGCCCCCGCCTAGTGGCGCCGCTTCACGCATGTCTTTAGAATTCGAACATCTATCAGCCCCTATCGTTCCTTCAAAAGAAGAGAAGTAAAGAGAAAAATAAAAGTCACTAGCTTTCCCGCTGGACACTTGACCCGTTAACACAACGACACTGCACTGGATCACATGGTCATGTGCCTCTTCATGTGCAGCGACAGGTGGTCGCTCCGCGAGAAGGACCGGTCGCAGAGTCTGCACTGGAAGGGCCTGTCGCCAGTGTGCTTGCGGTAGTGCCTGGTCAGCTCGTCGGAGCGCGCGAACTTCCAGCCGCAGCCCTTCCAGCCGCACTGGTAGGGCTTCTCGCCCGTGTGCGTGCGGAGGTGCGCCTTGAGGTGCGAGGACTTGGTGTACGTCTTGCCGCAGCCCGGCTGCCCGCACGTGTGCACGATCACCTTCCTCCGCGACCAGTTCCTCCGGCGCCGCGGCTTGGCCGGCGTGGACCCGGAGGCCCCGGTGGCGGGGGTGGTGGAGGACGCCGTCGTGGACGTGGCGGCGGGCGGCGGCGCTGGCGGCGGCAGCGGCATGTGCCGCAGGGGGTAGCCCGGCGGCTGGTGCGGGAGGTGCTGCAGGTGCGGCAGCTGGCTCCCGGACAGGTGGGGCGACGACGGCGGCGTCAGGATCTTGAAGTGCGACGCCATCTTGTGGTGCGCGTTGGGCGGCTGCAGGGGCTGCTGCGGCGGCGGTAGCGGCTGCCGCGGGAACGGGTGGAACTCGCTTTGGTGGTGGTGATGGTGGTTGTGGTGGTGGTGATGGTGGTGGTGCGGGTGGTAGAAGCCGCCCAGGTTGTCCGGCGTGCCGGGAGGCGAGATCTGCCCTAGCGGGACGCTGGCCGACAGTGGCGCGGCGGGGCCGGACGGGCCGGCCTGGTGGTGGAACTGGTAGGCGTAGGGGGCGACGGGCACCGGCTGGCGCGGCAGGAACGGCAGGTCCATGCCACCGTACGTCGGCTCGCTCTTCACCACGGAGGACGCCGTCGACGTGGTGTCCGCCGACGTGACGGCGCACTGCCCTCCGCCGCCCAGGTACAGCGACGAGGGCTCCGGCTTGACCATCATGGAGCCGAACTCGTCCTCGGTGGCGGGCACTGCCGGCACGGGCGTGGACGACGACGAGAGGTAGAACGGCGACGGCGACACGACGGGCACCTGCTGGTCGCCGGGGTTGGCGGCGGTCCCCGGCGCCGCGGCGCCCTTGACGCCCAGGTCGCTGTAGTACACGGACTCGGTGGGCGAGGACGACGTCGGCGGGAAGCTGGCCTCGCCCTTGCCGTCGGCGGAGGAGGACGGCGCGGCGGAGGGCCCCGACGGCCCGGTCGGCTCCCTGGGGGCGTCGGAGGCCGGCGGCCCCACCGAGGCCCCGCCGCCACTGGGCACGCCACTGGGCACGCCCGCGCCCAGGATCACCGTCTCGATGTCCTGCCACATCTGCAACACCAAGACACGCGGCGGTCAGCACGCTGTCAGCACGCTGTCAGCACGCTGGGCTTCCGGGGGGCACTGAACGCGTTCGGAGGAACATATTCGTCTAGCTGCCATCGTGGTCCTACACGACGGGCAGGCAGCGCCGCGCAGCGCGCAGCGGCACCAACAAAAACAACAAAAGTAAAGAAGCCGGAGCCTTGCTCAACAAGGCTCCAAATGCACGAACGCGCTGCAGCCTGCTTGTTCAGGAAAGCGGAGGAAGTAACAAGAAGGGCAGACCGTGTCGGTGTGTGAGTGTGTGTGCGTGTGAGTGTGTCTGCGTCCGGTGTGTGTGTGTACGTGTGTGAGTGTGAGTGGAGTGTTGATTGGGAGCGCAGCCAAGAAGTCAGTCGCCCGGAGTGGTCAGTCGGAATCGAAAACCGATGTCGACTCTCATGAGTAAATCTGCCGCGTCCGCTTGCGAAAGAAAATGTCCCCAGCCCGTCCCTCCTCTCCCCGTTTACCCAAACCACATTACAGTGTGGCTCGCGGATAAAAATACACCCTCCCGGTATTCGAACACTCGACGGCGGCGACGCCGCGCGCAGCACGCAGTGTAGGTACTGGGTAACCACGGCCGCGAGCACTGCAAGGCACTGCGAGTGATCATCATTTCCTGTTCAGGATTTGCGAGCAGCGAAGGGGAAAGAGGGGGGGGAATGTTTTCGAACATCCCATCAGGAGTACCCTCTGGGTTATGCGTACTGCGAGCACCTCGCAAAAGCGCCTCGGGCCGGAGGGAGAGAGAGAGAGGCGGGGGGGGGGGGGGGGGGCACGAGGGGCATTCAAGTCTCTGCGGCTGCCCAGGCGGCCCACGCGGTCGCAGCGTCGCCGCACAGTCTTTATCGATGTTTGTCGCGCGTGCGTCCCGTCAGCGAGGACGACTCCAAAACACTGCCGCCTGTCTCTCTCGCACTCGCGGGGATTTCCCGCAGGGGTGCGAGAGAGACAGGCGGCGTTCGGAACCAGTCTGCAGGCGACGCGTCGCCCGCACGCCGTCCGGGCAAACGCCGATTCATCTCATTCCAACAGCCTCTGCTCACATTTGAAATTATTATTTCACTTCTGGTCAGGTTCTTTTTTTTGCTGTGCAGGGAAATCCGGTAGCAGTCACTCTGTTTATGCTTGGTCGTGAAGCTAGACGCGCGGGGTCGCTGGGGCTTGTTTTACATGACAGACAGAGACAAAGGGAGAAACTGCAGCGGAATAACCATGCAGAGCCATATACGTGCTCGTTGCGGCCGGAACACAACAGAGACGTCAGCGAGTGCGAGAAGCAGGACGCCTTTCTGGAAAGCAGGGAGGGGTGACCATCGCACAGTGGACCAGAAGGAGGCGGACAAAACTCTAGACGCGTTTTGAGCTCCAGAGTCGCTAAATAGGACTCGAATCAAACGTGTGACCCCACCAATGGATTGCTCTCCGAACGAGGAATCCATTGGTGGGGTCACACGTTTGATTCGAGTACCATTTAGTGACTCTGGAGCTCAAAACGCGTCTAGAGTTTTGTCCGCCTCCATCGGTCTTCTGGCCCACTGTGCGACGGACCGCTACTCCATCGGCTGCATTGGCAGGTGGTCTTTGATTGGACGGACCCAAAAGCAGCGAGGACGCGCCACCTGGCGAATCATGACGGACTCGCGACGCGACGCGGAGGCTGGCTGCTCATCAGATGGCGCGCCGGCCGCACTCGGATCTGAATAGCAAATGCATTTGTCGTGTGCCGTGGGGCGGCGGGGAGGGTGTCCCGCAGGTTGTAAACCACGGCCCTAGTGTGTAGTGGTCTCGACGTCGTCCTGCCCGAGCGAGCAGACCGCAGGCAGGCCGCCGGACCCGAGATACACTATCAGGCTGCCGAGGCCCTCTAGGCCTGGCCGACGACGGGGTTGGGGAACGCGGAACGCCGCGACACACCGCGAAAACGCACCCCCGTGGACGTGGATGGCGAGTCACATTCTCACGAGGGAAGGGTGACTCGCGACACTGTCCCAAATTTTTTTTTTATCGACTTGACCAAAATTAAGTTAGTTCTCATAGAACGGACGGCCCTAAGCCTAGTTGACTTTTTTACTGTCGTGAGTCGGGTGAACCAAACTGTTTAAAGCGCGATCGCGGATTTCTTTTTTGCCCGGGAAGTGCGTTGGCCCAGCCAGCTCAGCCGAGCCTTGAAGCCGCTCATCCTCCGTCCGGCCCGACGCGTCCCGACGCGTCCCAACGACACAATCGGTCGTTAGGCAACCCTCCTTCGTATCCTTCGCACTTTTTGAGACGCGCTGCGCGGGCAGCGCGCGGGCCGGAGGAGACAACTATGGAGGCCCTCTTAAACGTTCAAGCAATTTCGCAAAAAAAAAAAAAAAAAATGGTTTTAAACACAGCGCTTTGCAGCCCGCCCTTGCGCTGTCCGCGGTCGGCCGAAGTGTGAGAAAATGGTCCGTCATCTCGGCACGACAGCAAATTGAATAATTAGTCGCAGTTGATTGAAATAATACGTGGGCACAGCGCGGCGGTCTCGTTCCGCGGTGATCCCCCTGGCGGCCCTGGCACGGCCCGGCATGCGGAATACCCCATGGGGCCCCGTGTATGACTCCAGACGCAATGTAATCCTTTTGTTTCGACGCCCACGCGTTATCTCTCTCTCTCTCTCTCTCTCTCTCTCTCTCTCTCTCTCTCTCTCTCTCTCTCTCTCTCTCGCTTATTCGTCCTCTCATTCCTTCATTGTATTTATCCTTCGTCGGGGAAGTAGTGTGTGTATAGTTTCCTGCAGTTAACCCATAGTCCTAAAGTGACTTCTCATAGGCGCACACACACGCACACATGCATGCACACACACACACACACACACACACACACACCATTTCACAGTGTTCCGTCTGCGTCGCACGCCGCGCTCCTCCGGCCGGCGGAGCGAGAGAGACGGGCGGCAGGATGTAGGCGTTGATCTCATTAGCATTTTATACATTTTGTCCAGGAAGGTTCCGTCTTCCTCTCTTTCTCCTCGGCTAATAATCGAGGGAGTATCGCCGTGGACCGCGCCGTGGACCCGTCCGGGGGGACGCACTCCGTGTGTGTTCTGAGGCGTTTAAGGAGCCGAGCGCTTTTCGTGTGTGGAGAAGGAAAGAAGACCGTGTGTGTTCTTGTCGGGGTTCTTGTTGTTTCTCGGGGAAGGAGGGAGTCCTGTGCGACATCGCGTAATAGAGCGGTATTAAGAGGAGCCTCTTAATGAGGCGCCATTTGTACACCTCGGAGGGGCCTAACGCTCGCTCCAGTTCCCCTTTGAGTTATTACACGGACTCAACGAGAAATACAGATATTTCAGGAATAAAGAGGGAAACAAAAAAGGACGAACGGCGTTTCCTCAAGGAGCCGTGATGAATGAATTGGGTTTATGAATGGCCGCCCCCTGCCGCGCCACGGCGGTGCGCGAGCGGTACGCGAGCGGTACGCGAGTACACACAAAACGAACAGCGTCCGATCCAATGAATCTCTCTCGCGGCGTTTCCTCCTCTAAACGGCCGGCCCGCTTAATTACTATGCGTCACCACGAGGCCTCTGTCTCTGTCGCACCCGGGCCTTCGTCCTGCGCGTGCGAGAGAGACGGAGAGACGGCGTGAGACACGACGAGACGCGGTGTCGCCGAGTCATTATTTTGCACGCAACGGCCCCGCAAGTCAAGGTGCATGTAATGAATATGAATATGATGGACCAGGGCGACGCGACGGTCGGCCGAGCGCGGACTTTGAGCCGCGACCTCCTTTTCGGCGCGTCGCAGTTTTGAAAATCTTTTCAAAAACACTGATAAATTTTATTGAATAAATATTTAATTTTGATCTAAAGTATGAGCCTTTGACCTCACTCCCAAATTTGCTAGATCTAGCCGACGATCCCTTGGCGACGATCTTTGCTCGTAGTGTACCGGCGGTCCATCCGTCTGTCTGTCTGTCTGTCTCTGTCTCTCTGCCTCTCCCTCTCTCTATAAAGCACTCGGCCGATAAGTTGTAGTCCCACTTCATTTAATCATATCGTTCTTTTTCCGTGGCGCGCCGATCCGACGCGGCCCAGACCCGGCCGAGGCCCGTTTTATTAGCACCTCCGTCCCAGTTACCGACACGTCCCGGCAATTAGCACTTAATGGAGCAACGTGTCGAATATGAGAAATCGCGCGCTTGGGTCACGAATTTCTCATGCCGGTTGATTAGAGGATGTAAGAGAGTCATCAGTGTGAAGTGCGAGCTCGCTGGCGTCGTTGCCGGCGTGGGGTAGGGCGGGGCGTGGCGGCGCGGGGGCATCAGGTGCTTATAATGCGCTACCCGGGCCACGTGCGCGGGGCACTAATGGACCGCCTATCGCCGTCTCCCTCGCACCCGCAAGGAAGGGCGGGCCGGAGCGCGCCGGAGTGGCGGACCCGAACGCGACCCGAATCCTTCCCGAACGCGTCCCGAACGCCGGCGCGGCGCGGCCGACGCGGCTGGCGCTCAACCAAACTCGCCGTCGCCGCGACACTGGCGGAATAACACATCAGCATCGCGACGCATGCAGATCCCCTTTGTCTCACACAGTCCGTCTCGCTCGCGCAGCCAGGGAAGTCCCACTCTTATTTCGCGACCACGACGCACAGTGGGCCAGAAGACCGGTGCGGGCGGCCAAAATCCCGGACGCGCTTTGAGCTCCAGAGTCGCTAAACGGGACTCGAACCGAACGTGTGACCCCACCAATGGATTGCT